AGAGGTTTCTGAACTCTAAATATTCTAAGAAATCTTTCAGTAGATATGTGAAAGAAAGGACAGCTCAGCATTTTGCACTGGAGCACAGGGAAAAAATGTTTAAAGGAAACATAAGAGACAAAGCAATGAATTTAGCTGATTAGAAGAAAATTTAAAAATGTCAGTCAGTCATGCTTTTGGCTTGGACCCACACAGGCAGAACAGATGGCTGAAGGTCTGAAGCAGCTGGTGACTGCCTTGGGGCACAGAGGGCTCCAAAAGGAGATGGGTAAACTGGCAATCTTGCAACTGAGTGGTCTTTTGAGCCCAGGTGAGTTGGAACAGTGCTGATAAACTGTTTGAATTATCTTTATTTGCTAATGTGTATGTATTATCTACACGATAATGGAAGACACATGTTTATGGTATCAGCAGTCTTGTGTAGTTAGGAGTTAGGTATGATTTCTTATCTGTAAACTCCAGGGCATTATCAAAACATTGAGCAGATGTGTGTGATAAGCCCACGTATTTTCCTACTCCAGACAAAGCTATCAGTTAAGGGATGACTCATAAGCACAGTCAGGCTTCCTACAGAAGTTGAAAACTTTTTCAGATTTTGCAAAATTCAAGAATCAGACTTCTACCTCAACATCACAAAACACAGACTAATAGAGTGCCAGAAAATACAGGAACCTTGTCAGCTGCCACCACCAGTGAAGATGTGACTGTCTTGCTAACAGCCACTGGAAGCCTGGGAGGGAGAGAAGGAAAGTCCCACAGGAAAATAGGAAATGTGGAGCAGATGAAGCTGGAGATGCCAAACCACACTGCTCTTGTTGGGGAGTAAGAGGACTATATTGTCCTGGAAGAGGGGACAGGACTGTGAGAGCCAAGGCTTCAAGGCAAGGGAAGATGGAAAGAATTTGAAGAAAGAAGAAGTGCTATGGGTAGGAAGTGGGTTTGAGGTAGGCTGCTCAGAGCTGTGGAATGACAACAGCTTTGGAAAAGGGATGTATTGAAAGCTCTGGGTTGGCAAGTATCTGGATGGGGGTATGAGGTATGTGAGGGGCTTCTGGTCAAGAGGCAACAGGGTTATCAGGCATTTCCAATCAGGCTACAGGTTTAGAAGTGAGACAAATACTCAGCACAGGACTACTCCTTCCTCTTAGAAGGAGGAAGCTCCTATTTCTTCTGTAAGCTGTCAGAAATACAACAGCCCTCATTTTGTCTCTTATCCCTGTGATTTCCACTTGTTCTCTGCCAACATAGCTCCTCCTGATGGAGGCCACCTTTCGGCCTGATCCCAAGTCTGTCATAGATTTCAGGGTCAGTCAGGTTGGAAACAACCTGGGAGGTTGCTCATCGAACCTCCTGCTCAAAGCACAGTTAACATTGAATGGAGAGCCTTTGTCACTCTCATAATTGATGGAAAGATCTTCATTACCCTCAAGATATTTGGGATCAACCCCCCCCCATATAAACCTTGAGTTTGTTCTTACAGCAACTCCACTTTCAAATCTTTCCTCTTTTGATTAGCTAGGCAACACTGACTTTGCATATATATGCACTGATTTGAGAATATAGAACAGTAAATCCCACAAATAAAAGGAAACCAACAGGATGTCTATGGTACAACAACAGTATCTTTAAGATTTTTACAGTCTTCTGTATTTCCTTTATTCTATTACACATAGCAGTCATCATAAACACTTCAAGCATAGTATTATTTCAGCAACTGTTAATGAAGGATGTTTATGAGGCTTTGTAGGTAAGTTTAATCACATTAATAGTAATTTCAAATTTATTTCAGGGCATCAATAGAAACTAGACTAACTAATAAAACAGCATATTGTAATTGTGCTGGAAAATTTACTAAATTTAGATTCTCTTTCACCCAGCAACTGAGCAATAAGGAACATGGGAATGGGACTATCTTGCTTTTCTCAGACAGTCCTGATTTTATTTTAACTTGAATAATAACAATATCCTGCACAGTTTGACTTGCACATTGCAGGAACAGTTACATAATTCATGACAGCCATGCAAAGGAGCTTGTGAAGGTTAGCTATCTTGTGTCTCTTGAGATGTCCTACAGAAAGCCTTAGTCCACTAAAGGAGAAGAGAACACAGCACTTTCTCAAAACTACATGCTTTTTCTGAAGGAACACCTAAATCTTTACAACAAACAAATAAAATCATAGCATGTTATGTCCCATTCATGATACAACATCCATTATTTAAAGGACTTTCAAAATGTAACTAATAGCTTTGTAAACTAATTGGTTACTGAGAAAAATTATAAGCATTTAGTATTTTTACTTCTCTTCATTTTTCATGCAAGTTATTTAACCTCTGAACAGCCATTCTGTCTTTTTAATAAAAATTTAAATATAATATAAATTGCATATTTTTATGCAATTCTGACATGAGAAAGTATTTCTAATATTTTTTCTCATTCATTCTGGCAATTTATGGCCAGTCCCTGTTACTGGCCCCTTACACAGATATGCAAAGTTGCTCTTTGCTTGAGAGGAGCCCACCTCTTGCTTGAAATGAGGTGTGGTCCACTGGTGGAGACTGAGATTCCCACTACTCTATTCCTTTCTTGAATTTCAGTTTCTTGGCTCATTTATTCCCACGATTTAATTTTGTACAGTGTGCTAGGGAATATGTTGGTACTTCTTATTTTTGAAATAGAAATTAATTTTCAGTGGGTAATAGCTGTTTTCTTCATTAAAACGTATACAACCAATAGTAAATAAAATAAAGTACAAACACTTACATAAGGTAAAAGGATGGTATCACTGCTTACACCACACAAACTAATGAGAAACTGCAGTGTTATCCTAAGGTTGTTACTCCATTTTTCATTGTTGGCCAAAGCATTCCAGACATTTTCCATCTCTGGTCCAGGAATTTCATCTCCATACTGCAAAGGATCATAGGCATACATTTCTTGAAATATGCAGACCTCCAAACTAAGGCATGCTCTTTTTAGAGCATTTTCTCATGCAAAACCAACAGTAAAATGCTGTAAAAAGTGACAAAACAGTATTTTCAAGAGCTACCTGACAGACTTCACAGCATAAATTCTACTTAAAAGTATGCAGGTTCAGATCCACAGGAGGACTTACATCACACAAAAAAAAAGTCTTTCAGGAATGTAAATTCAAAAGGTGATCCTAAAATTAAGCATTTCATTTGGTTTCATCTTTACAGTTGTTCAAGCAACTGAAGTTCTGTTTCTGCATGTCCTAAGTAAAGGACTGTTTCTCCATGTACCTAAGTGCTTCAGCCATCACAGTAGTGAACAACTCGGCAGTTCTCTCCTTAGTAAATCCTAGCAGAATTAAGCATTAGACAGCCCTTTGATTTCACATTGGTAACAAGTAGCTTTTGCTCTCTTTTGCCAGACACAGTTATAGGAATGATTCCCTTTTGTCCAGTCATTGAAATGGTTAGTGCATGCATCCAGGATGTGGGAGTCCAGAATTGAAGCTGTTCTGTTTCCCATGTAAAACTTTGGCTCCCACTTTGAGAAGACTATTCAGACTGACATTCTGCTAGGAGAGGAGTGGTAATCTCCAGGTCATGCTATTCTACCAAAAAATATTTAATATATATTAGCTACATCTACATTGCCACTGGCACCTACATCTACTGTCATCTACACTGGCACTTGCAGGCCCAGTCCCTTTATCACACATACAGCCTCAAAGCTGTATCTATATGGTTTGAAGAAAGCATACTTGTTCTCTGTGGAACAAAACCTTTGTGTGGATTTGGAAGCAACTTGCTCCAAGGACTGCTGCTGCTAGGCAGTAAAGGTGAGATTGCATCACATCTGTTTTCAACCCATAAAATTCCTCTGAGAATATCCTAGAGACTCCGTACCATCAGAGAATATAAGAGCCAGTATCATGCCCTGGATATGCAACAAGTATCAAAAAAACATTCTGGTGGGCTGAAGCACAGCCCCCACATTACTTCAGACATGCTCATATGACAAAATACACATAAAATAATAATTATGTTTTACTTACAGGGCCTCAACATGAGGCAAGATCTAGAATCAATGGCTATGTAGCATGGGTACAGACATTCTGCTCGAGAGAGGATTAACCCTGAGCAGGATAGGAAATATGAACCACTGTGTCTCATATGACATAGGTACCATGCATCACTTCCTGGAGTTTATATATTTATCAGTTTAGACATATGACCTCAATCTGGCAAAAGCAGTGCCAGAACAGGCAAGGCACACTAGTGTAGCAGCCTGCACCTCAGCAAAGAGAAGGAAAAGATGGTTCCCCAGTACCTTCTCCATTGGCTGCTTATGCATTTTACATGAAAAAGGAATTGGCAAAAAAAGGAATCCTTGATTCTTTATCAGGACCTGGGATGTAAAATACCTTCCCTTTTACAAAAGAATGCTTTGATTAGCACCTTAGAAATTTTATTTTTTTTTGCCTTTTCTCTCTCTCAAAGAATATTTAAGTGTTTCCTAGAAAGTAGACGACCTTCAGTAGGACAAATTCCAGGTGCTCATTCTCACTCCCAAATAAACTTTCATCTGCTGCCAGGAGGTGACACAGGAGGGAACGGAATTTAGTTCCTCTATAACTAATTCTTAATGCTCTCACTATTAAAATTTTTTGTTTGGTTGGGGTTTTTTTGTTGGTTTGGTTTTTTTTAGGGTCAAACACTTTTCTTCGTTCATGTTCTGAAAGAGAACCATTTTAGCATTATCCTTAAAAAGTGAAGGAACTTCTTCAAAAAGAAGGTTGTCTGATGAGTACAGATTGTTCCAGTGCAAAAATTCTGGTATTGGAGGGAAGAAAGCTAAGTACCTTTTGCTTAAGAAACATGTTTGAATATTTCAGCAATTGTTTTACAGGTGTTGTTGTTTGTTTTGCTTTTTTACCTTGGCTGTCATATACATAAGATTATTGAGAACCAGCGAGGTGGCCTCAGGAGAGCCCCAGCCATTGCCTTTTAGTCCACTTGTGACTGTTATTTCTCCATCCTTGTCCTTCAGTTCATCTTCTGGAGTGGTAGGGCTTGAACCAGGGAGGAGCAGCCTGTTGTCTACAAGTTCAATATTATGAAGCCATGGTAGCAGATAGGTAAGCATGATCTGTCTTCCATTCGGATGTGTTGTTGGAAATCGTTGGCTTACCTCTAAAATAGTAAAAGTTGAAATCGACGACATGTTAGTTTATGAAGGAAACCTTAAATACACAGTTTAAATCAGATTTCTGACATGTTTTAGACCACTTGATGGTTTTTACCTTGCAAACCACAAGCATACAAAAGCATGTACTTGAGCTTCCTGAAGAGAAACATTAATTTAATGGTCAATAATAGCAAGAAATTGGTCAGTTCTTCTGTCTAAAATAACTAACACAGTCTGGGCTTAGAAACAGAAAATTACCCCTTGTTACTGTGCCATATTATGTATTAAGTGAAATGGACGTCAATAAAGAAGAAAAAGGATAATTCACTTACTGGCTGTTCTTCTAGAATTTCAAGAGCTTTTGGAGAATTACAATAAACATACAAAAGTGTTCTGCAGAATTACAAGTGCCCCATCAGCCTCCATGTTTCTAAGCTATAGTTTAAATCTTAAGGCACTTATTATACTGAGTTTACAAAAACACTTTCATATATTATAGGTCTTATTTCCTGTGGGGAGGCCTATAAAATTCAGTCAGCTGTCAGTCCAGGAATGCTGTATACAGGACTTTACACAGTTTATAAAAAAAAGAACTGGCACTGCAGGGGAAAGGGATTTGGAAAATCTGGGATAAGAAATACAGTGACAGGCTTCCTGCCAAGGTGAAACACATTAGCTCTCTTTACCAGAATTCTTCTGTCAAATCAGTCCAGTTAACATTTCCTTTCTTTCCTCACTGCCTACTTTGTAAAAATCTTCAAGACATACACTGTTCTCTCTCCTTATGATTCTAGATGTATAGAAAGGGGCTCTGATTTGGACTGTGTATCTGATTTCTTTTAAACAACATAGCCACTACAGCAATGTGAATAGATGGTAAGAGTAATAATGAACAACATTTGCTTTTATAAGATAAACGAGCCATCAGAATTTCC